ATTTAGCTCATACTTGATTTTAGCTTCCTTCAAGCTGAAATCTCCCTCCCTGAATATCTAAGTATGCTTTTCTCCCTAGAATTTCTTGATATTAAAGTGCGTAGTGCTTTAAGGTCTTATCTTTTTTAAACTGAGGAAATCAAGTTACAGCGGGTAATTTACGAGTACATTTGCCACTCAATAACTGAAAGAGTGTGATCAGAGCATAATTGATCTCTCCTCCTTTCTTTGTTCTGTATTAACCTCGTTCTTCTCTTCGAATATGGGATATAAATGATAATAAATTACAGACGCGGTACCAATTAGCCTTCTTACTTGGTTTTGTAACACTCTTAGAACTTTCGATGAGCTTTGAGGGGATCACCATTTCTATGTGGTCACGACTAAAGCATTAGCATGCTCGACATGTGCTCCATTCGCTAAGCAACGTATGCAAAACGAATGTGAAACTTGTGTGAGCACGTATGTGAATATGAATATGGTCAGAAATGAATCACGTGCTCTGATGCATGCAAAAGTATCCAATACTTTACACATTAATGTCTTGCAAATTGAATAAATAGCTTTCGCTCTTTAACAATGACACTCCTTGTTCCTATGAATGTACGACAGATGTATTCCATATTTACTTTACATGAAAAGCGAGAATTATAACATATTATGACGATTGTTGAAGTTTAGGTCAATGACAAGATATAAATTATAAAGGAGTTCCCATTGTACAACGAATCTCCTGAAATTATGGGCCTGAACTTATCTCTGCATTCTTCGACTAGCAGGTTTTTACCTTATGTAATTATGTAAACATGAAGCTCTTCAATTTGGAAGGATATTATGGATGTATGGTTTTAGGACTGAGCTGTTCACAGGCATGTCAGGAAGGAGATTGACACCATTACATTCATTTTCAGAGAAAGAGACAGAGTGTATAAAGATGAACCATACGTAAAAAATTAACCCTGTTCTTCCACGAATGTCATGTGAATGACAATCAACTAGTTGTGATCCGTCTAAACCTAGCCAGATTTCATTGAACCTTATGAAAAAAATGTGCGGCAAAGCGTTAATTCTCTGGAATCATTGTGCCTGAGAATACACTGTAGAGTATAAAATGTACTTCAAGTACATTAACTATCTCACTCATGCTCTATTTGACAGTGGTTGCCTATGCGTCCATGAATGATATCTTGTAGGAATTTGAATTGGATTGTCGAAGATGAGCCCATTGAAGTTAGTGTACTAAACGATACATAACCGGTGTCTATTTAACCTGTGAAAACGAAATTCTAGTATATATAGTTCTGCCCTATATTGACGTTTGTCACTTGTTTTCTATACTGGATGCGTCGTAGGTTCAAAGACTTTGCACTTATCGATGCTCATGATCAGTTTTCAGCGCGAGGCAAACTGGACTGCTGATACGTCTACCCTTTACAATAAAAAACAAAACAATAAAAAAGTTCGCAAAGTAGAGACTATTCACTACTGGATTTGTATAATATTTAAGAGGTTATCTCACTATCGGATGTGTGCAAATCATGTAGTAAGTTGAAGATTCCATAACAATTTCATATGTGATGAGCTTGCAATTATCATAAGAAGGCCTTAAACAAATTGACATTTTCAGTGTATATTGGATATAAATGACTTCATCCCACTTACAATCCCTGGAACACATCTAAACTTCCTGCAATTATATAGAAAGAAAATATACCTCTCCAATTTACGATAGAAAATATAACTCAAAAAATCAAGATATGACAACACGTCCTTCAATGGGGCTCAATTACTTTTTTTAACGTTCTTGCCATGGTGGTCCTTGCTTATCCACAGCATACGATCACAACGTTTGGTCTTCAATATACAGATATTGACTGCAGCGTTATACTGAAAACTCTGAATCAAACTTACGATCTTCTCATAGATATTTCTTTTTTTTTGAACTCTTTTATCGTAGCTTTAAGGTTCAGGAAAGTATACTCCGTGCTCAATGTTTCGTATACGACTCTAATGCTTCAGCACAAGCTCCACAATCTCACCCCAAGTGTGAGTAATAATAAGATCTGCTGTATTGAGCACACAGAAGTAGGAAGCAGTCGACCTTCTTCCCGAATATATGCATGATAGTTTCATCAGATGCGTATGAGAACAAGGAGACATGAGATCATGTACGGTGAATCACAATAATCTGATTCTCAAGCTACTCCCTAAGCCATTTTTTGACGGTGCTGCAAAACATTGTTTAAAGTTGTTAATCATGATGAACCTGCAATTAAAGCTGCTTGAAGTAGAGGGAGTACCCTACAATGATGTAATGTGGCAACATGAGATTTGAAGCATAAAGTTCAATCCTCGGTCCCCTAATCTTGTCGTATTCAGTAGAAGCTAAATATACACACCAAGAATACTTTAAGCAGTTGGACTGCATCCTAATCCACTTGACAACGATCATATGCTAAAAACTGTATAATCTTTGAAGTAACAATTTTATCGTTATCAATGTAACACGACAGTTTAACTAGATTATACTACGATAGTAGGCTGCTTTTGTCAATCGGACATACCTTGCCTGCTTCCGATCACTGCATGCCCGCAACAAATTGGAGCACTATTGTTTATCAATCTCATCGACCTGAGAAACTCTACTCCACGATTGCAAGATTGGCGCACCACAATAATAGAGAGACAGGGTAGGACAAGCTGTGGAAGTTATATGAGAGGCAGACCGACGTCAACTACGACCACGTTGACGGGATATATGTTGGGATCGAGTATTCACCAGACCAGACATTCGGTACACATATCAGATTAGACTTAAGACCATCAAACTTAAAAGTCAATGAGTACATAACGTCCAGAAACATACTAGGCGTTACACCAGAAAGAAGAACAATCTTTTGCGTGAATTTAGGACAAAGTTCAAAGACAACAAATATGCCACATACTTTCATGTTTGAACACAAAACTAACGTATATGCGGAAATAAGACTTTTCATACTATGGAACGCCCAATATTGGATTCAAGCTGAAGAAACGGGTAATGGAAAGAATGTTCAGCATCTTTCTGATGCAAAAAGCAGTTTCACATCAAGTGCTTCGAAATTTGAGACAATAGTTTGAGCATGCATGTAATTGACTCTTCTTTAACATATCTACGCTAGGTCGCTTGGAATATCGCCAAAAGGTAAATATTTATTTGGTGGATGTGCAAAGGGAATGAGTGCTTACCATGGTCACAACATTGGGTAGTTTCTGGATAAAGCATATCGAGTGCCCGCTCTCACAATAATGCAACAATACTTACAGTAATTGTAGCTCTATAACAGTACAAATGATTTTCGAGGTTCGATTTTCACTTATTGCGACATACATATATTTCACATCTTACATTTTCCATCACTATCTTCAAAACTTGCTTCAGAAAATTCATAGGGATCCTACGTAGTCCTAGAATTTTTGTTCGACCTATTCCATTTCACTGGTTTGATACCTTCAACTTCACATGATTTTGCATAATAGTCACCGGCCAATAGTTGCTAATCTCTTCGGTCACGGGAAATCTGAAACCTGCAAAACGGTGGAGATGACACTTTTTAATTTCATCTTTTTTTCATCGGCGAACAACCGAACCCTTGGAACCATCTTCAACCCCAGGATGTAGATTCAGATGCCTTATTACATACATACACATGTTCATCACTCACTAAGCCAGGTGAAAAATACGGGGGCATCGAAGTAATATAGTAAAAGTGCGTGTACACCCACAGTTTTACTTATCTGTACAAAGATCAAAGTCCATGAGAGTCTAGTGGAGGATAATATATATATACATCAATCTCTTTAGCATATAATAAAGTATGTTTTAGGCAGTGTGTATCAGTTGTTTGTGCGCATAGAACCACTCATAAGAAACTGCAAGCTTGCACTTCAAACTGCTATTGATATTCAGCTAGACTTGCTACTTGGAATTTACAAGTAAGGGTTCAGGTCATGCCAATTGAAACCATAGAAGCAAGATAGGGTTAGCCCCAATAGCTTGTGTACTCCGCGAACTTTTTGTGAACCATCGTACTAAATTTATTTATATATCAGATCAGTATATCAATAATCATCACTTCAAACTGATTGATATTCTATTCGTAAGGTAATGTATACTTGAAACATGTAATACACTATTTTACATGCTAAAGTAAGCTATTTCACACTAACATGGAACAAATAAATTAACGCTTTGCATGCACTAATCTAAGTTGGGTTGCTGAATCCTCGCTTGTTACTCATCGAGTAACATGCAAATTAACTTGCAGAAACAATCATTTATATAGAATCATAACATAAGTTATGAAGCTGTATGCCCATATCGAGTCTATTTAAACATTAACCAGTGTCGATTGCATTATGAGTTATGCACATTCTCGTGCCTCACTAAACACCAAATGGTCTCTATTGTCATGATTGGTACCTATACTTTGCACTCCATCTGAGAATTAAAGTGGTATGTAAGGTTAGACTGAAAGAATGATGAGACATTTCTTTTTCGTTTAATAAGTTTTACTTATAACAGTAATGGATACTCATGTTCATACGCTATAAATCTGCTCTAAAAGCTATCTAATCACGATAAGTGATGTTTCCTAGTATGCTCCTGTTGTATGTTGAACATTTCACCTGGTATTTTTAGGTCGAGCACGACATATTTCTCACAGTGATGACGATCTGGAGTAGCTCCATGTTACCCTTTTGGTTTCATTCAGGTAAACCTGTATGAGGTCTTCACATATGTGCTCTTTCACTCGCTGCCTAGTACAAGTTCAACCCCTCATCAATCTGTGTTAATAGATGGCGGGCCGAATGCACCGATTTCAGATTTCTATATACGTACATAGCGAGATGAGGATCGGTGGAAGCAATCTATTATGTGATATGCATGGCAAAGGACTTCCAGTGACGCGTCAGTTCGAAACCACATCGATACACCGTCCCATCGACGATCAGCATCAGAGACTCGGAAACGACCAATTCCATCTGCTTTCCACTCGAGAATCAACAGCTGTACATCGCATGTTCTCTGCAATCTTGCGGAGTTGCAATCCTCAGGAATAATCAGGATTTTCTTAATCTTTAAGGGGAGTAGCAGGAGGAAGGAGCTGCATTATGGTTTTTGTTGGAAGCGGTTCTTTTTGGTGAAAAGGCTCCTTGGCTTTAAGAACGGCCCCGGCGTAAAGCGACAAGTCCTCCATAAACAGCTCACCGCGGCACCGCGGCCCCGCCCGAGATACCTTGGCTTGCAAGCTTGGTGCGAGCGGAGGGAGGCAGCCATCCATCCACACGGATGGACCCAGGACAGAGTTGATGGCACCGGCGGAGGACGCCGCTCCATTCAATCACCTGAGACAGAAACTCGACCCGAGCAGAGCCACAAGGACGGGCTAAGAGCCCATGGCCTGCATGAGAGGCACCCGTTGCTTCATCCATCTATCTCTCTTCTAAATCACCGGCGACTATTATTCGATATAAATTAAAAGGAGAGCGTTCGAAATTTCCCACCTTTATGCTCATCCTTCCCCGGGAGGTGATCTCGCTGTACAGTAGCTAGAACCAGAACTCGTGAGGCGCCATAGCTCGCATTCGCCGTCCGCCTGAGTCCTGACAGAGCGCGCAGAAGTCCATCCAGTAGACTCTCCTCAAGTCCTTTCTTCCCCTTTTGAATAATAATGTACTGGTCGAGTCAGTTTTGGTATTTATTTGGGCCCAAATTCATGATCTGCTGCGGCAGCCGGCACCTTCTGCACCTAGCGTAAGTCTACGGGGCCGAAGTTAAGCTGAGGGCGCTTTAGTAAATACTGGGGCTTTAAAACTTTAAGAGAATTAAAGATATATCTCGTTTGACCTTCGTAGTACTTGCAGCCTCCAGAACGAAACGAGCGGTGGTGTCAGTGGGTACGAGACACCGGACAGTACCAGCCCCACTCAGCACTTATTTAAACTCCTCATTCACATCGACACGCTTGCGGTCGACTTGCAGGGGCTTCAGATCCTCGTTCCGAAGGCCTGGGCATCAGCTCCCTGACGGCCTGAGTCCCTCCTCGGCCTACCGAGCGCAGAGAGCAAAGGCAAGGAGATAGAGAGACGGGGTTGCACAGCTGCAGCAGCAGTGGAGAGGCCCTCGCTTGCCTCCTACCCTCCTGCTCCAGACCGCTTTGCCGGGCTTATGATCTCTCGTAGACTGTCGTCGTAATTCTCATCTGATATCGTCGTCCACCGAGTGAAGCTTGAACCAATTCTCGGGGTCTGTGCTCTCAGACACAGTCTCGAGCGGATCGCGAGCAGTTCTGGAGCAGCGTCGAAGGTGGTGACACCACTCGACTTCGGGACGGACGAGCTATGGGTTCACGTGGCTTCAGGATGCAGCTCTTCGCGGTGGCTGTGATTTTGCAGTTGGCGATTCAGTCGGTACCGTCCGCTTCTCTGGGTTTGGATGATTCGGCATACTGGGCAGCTGTGGAAAGCAAGCGAGCTTTGGGGCCGCAAGCCACCAGCGAGGCCACCGGGGACTACTTCAAGGCCGACTTGACACACTTCCAGCACTCGATGTCGAATCTCAGTCTCTCCGAGCGGGTTCGAATGGCGGTGAAGAGGAGCAAAGAGAGACTGAACTATTTTCAGAGTCAAATTTCAAAGCGCAGCGTGCTTCGGCCTGAGGCCACATACGCCACGTCCGTGTACTCGAATCAAGGTAGCTACTTGATGAGCATAGAGATAGGCACTCCAGCCAGGAGCTATGTGGCAATTGCGGACACCGGCAGTGATCTCGTGTGGATTCAAGGCACCCCATGCACGCAGTGCTTCCAACAGCCGGACCCGTTCTTCAACAGCGCAGACTCCTCGACATACAAACAAACAGGTTGTAGTGACGAGCTGTGCGCTGCTCTCCCCCGCAGAACATGCTCTACTTCTACGTGCGAGTACGCCTACGCGTACGGGGATCAGTCTACAACGCAGGGAGAGTTCGGCCTCGATACTGTCACCTTGAGGACCTCCTCCAACGCCGCCCAGACATTCCCCAACTTCGGGTTCGGTGTGGGACACAAAAACCAGGGCACCTTCTTAGACACCGACGGATTGGTAGGCCTCGGCCAGGGCCCTCTGTCACTCGTCTCTCAGCTCGGCTCGCAGTTCGGGAACATTTTCTCGTACTGCCTTGTGGATTTCTACAGCTCGTCCTCTGTGACGAGCAAGTTGCTATTCGGAAGTGCTGGAGGGTCGCCCAAGTACACTCCCATGGTCACGAACGTCGCAAATCCCACCTTCTACTACGTGAACGTGGTGGGCATCAATGTAGGCGGCTCGCCCTTGAACTACCCATCGTCAGCCTTCGCCATAGACGGCTCGGGTAACGGAGGCTTCATATTGGACTCGGGAACCACCGTGACGCAGCTCCCGATGGAAGCGTACACACCTCTCGTGCAGCGTCTGACCAGTTTGATATCCTACCCGGTCGTTGATGGGTCGAGAATTGGGTTCGACTTGTGTTACGATCTGTCCGCTGTTGCCCAGCCCACCGTTCCTAGCATCGTCTTCAAGTTCCAAGACGTGGACGTCGATCTCCCAGGTAACAACATGTTCCTGCAAATCGACAATGCGGGCACCTTCTGCCTGGCCATGCAAGGCTCATCGTACAGCCTCGGAATTTTCGGAAACGTGCAGCAGCAAAATTTTGAAGTCGTCCACGACCGAGCGAACAGGAAAATTGGATTTGAACCCAAGAAATGCTGAAGATCCCCGCCGTCCAGGCGTTTAGGAACCGACGAGTACAGGAGATCCAAGGTTCCGTGAATCCCGTACGAGGTGGGGAGGAAGTTATGACCTTTGTCTTTCACACTGGTACTCGCCCCAGGATGTTTAGGGTTTAGGTGAATATGTGCTCTCCTGAGCCTGCGTTCTGGGATCACCACGGTGCTCTCCGATCTTTATCGAGATCAAGAGAGCAAATTCTGCGCGCTAGAGACACCCGAATCAATTAGCTGACGGATAAGCACGCAGGGGAGGAGAGCGGAAGGTGGACTGCCGTGGACGCTCATACAATCATCCATGTGCTGTGTAATTGAATTCCTGGTGAGAGAAGCGGGAATTCAACAATGTTGTGAAGAAACAGAGCTTCGAAAGAGAAGCTGTTTAGATAGTAGGTGGGAAATGGTCATGTGCACGTCTGTTGCGTCGCATGTATCGCCCCCAGAGATAAGTAGCACTACAGATCTCAGTGTTCATAAAAAAATTCAATAAAATATCTTCCAAGTCTCATGGTCGACTTCGATGTCTGATGCCGTCGTTTAAAGCTCAATGACATGAAATGTTTTGCTTGATGCAACTGAACTTGATGGAAGTAAACAAAGATGAAGTTGACACAATTCTGGTCGAGTGGAACCTTTCTGTATGGCATGCAAGGTTGGACTATGTTTGTTCTCGTCGCTAATCGTCGGTATGCGCAGGGCATACGAGAAGCTGCTGTCTGTAGAGATTTTCGTTTTACGTGACGCGGGTGAAGGATGATCCTTCTCTCGAAGTTTCATAAACTCGAAGGCTTCTTCTTCTGTATGCGATGTGCCAAGGCACGGCTGGGGTACATTCTGCGCAAGAGGGAAGTTGCCCTTATGCGCATTGGTTTTTTCAACATAGAGATTGGCTCACAGATTTGGTATGCGCACTACAGTGGAGTCATAGTGTCGGATATTGACACTGGAAACAGGGCATTCGATGATACGAATGTTTGTCCCACAGCGCTGCCTGCAGCTCTGCTGCCAACACTATCTGCAAAGTTTGTATTTCGTATGATGGACAGGTCGGTTGTAGTAGAAGGCATCTTCTGAGCGATGAGTACCACCAACGGGGAAGTACGCGGGAGTACAGAAAGGGCACCGCTGTGAATGAAAGGGTCAATGCTTCGGACTTCGAACACACTGAAGACAAACGATTGTCCAATTGCGTGGGCTCAAACAATGAAATCCGGGAGCTGGGAAGTTTGTCCCCGAAACAGCGTAAAAGAAACGGTAGAAGGTGGTTGTCTTTTCTTATAAATAACCCCCAGGCCCTTTCCAAAAGTAAATCTTCCTGCACCGCAGGCTTTCCGAAGCGCCAGCATTGTCCGACATCAATACAACACGTAGAAATACTTTATGACCGCTATAGGTTCCTACATACCGATTCCTCCTTACATCATACTTTCGCTCTTTCGCTATCGCCCCCTACTTTTGAAGAATCGGAATTTATGGCCACGCTACGTGAATGCTTTCTGGTGATGTCCGCCCTCACTTTCACAGGGCAAGATGGGGTTGTTTGCAAATTGGCTGCACCTGGTGATTATCCTCGACAATCGAATCCGCCTACAAAACGGCAAAAGATGTCGTAAGGCACTTTACCTATTTTAAGGGCTGGTACCTTAAAATCCTCTGCGAAATTTTAAGGAATTAGGTGGGTGGCTAATTCGCTGCTCGACAATTGTTATTATGAGTGGTAATGAATTTGGCGGTTTGTTGTTCAAACCCATGGAGCTCATAATGGCAGTGTGCCAGGTGACCGAACTCCGGTCAGAATCACGCCCACAGTCCGCAAATTCCACAGACCCATCCAACAAGTGGAATGAGGATGTGCTTTCGGTCCCCGATCCTCTGGAATGTCCAAAAGATCTCGACCTTCGAGCAGAGGTCTGCTAGCTCGGTCTGCAAATCACTGTGGGAGTTGAAATCTTGCTCGGAATCGTCATGCGGTGAACCGCGAGCTCCTTTCAAAAGCTCGGGCCCGCCGACCCTCGGACCCCGGCGGCCCCACCTCCAGCATTCCGCACGCGCGCGCCTCCAGGACATCCTGTCTTTATCTGTCTTTTCTCGGCTCCACATCACATCTCGCAGAGCGGCGTGCATTACCTCACACAGACCGTGCGGGGCGAGTATTCGCGAAATTTGCGGCCGGAGGTGGCTTCTTTCGCGACTGTCAGACTCGCCCTGTCCCGAGTCCCAACGGAAGAGCATTTTACATGAGGAATTCATGGAGCCCAATTCCTACAAAACTTCTTCGTGCGGAACCGATGCGGTCAGGACAAGAAATCCCACCTCCATTTCCTTCTCTCCAGCATAAAGAAGCCCCGGAATTTGTACCTACCAACTCGCAGATCGAGACACCACATCGATGCTCATGGCTATTGAGCGTTTGTGACTTCCCTTTCTTGATGGGTATGTCTGGTATCCCATAATCGTCTTCAGTAAGACCCGGAGGAAGGACGGTGCAATTTGGAGGTGATACCTTGCAACGGCACCTCCCTACAAATAATTGGTGACTGCGGTGTCTCAACATTTCTCCGAGATTCGGTGAGCTGCTGTTCTTTTTGTGTGGGGGTATTTTTTTGGGTGGCGCAATAACATCGGCCCATTGTATTGAATCCCCATTGGAGGTCCTGGACATTTAGTTCCATGTATAGAAAGTTCACTCAACTTCTCTTCAAAACGGTCGGTTTGACAGATAATACTAATTAATTAACCCTGTATTCAGCTCTGCCTATGGTTATGGGGCTTCTAACTGAAGTCACCGATGCAAACCGATGATAGGACCGAAATCTAAATTTGATTTTAGTTACCAATGGAGGAAATGACAGGACAGAAATCTAAAATTAATTATTACTGGCACGAGTAGTTTCAGATTAAGGATGGATAAAAATCATCCTACTCGGCAATCTTCAGTTTTCCTCCATTGGGCCCAAAGTAGCTATTAGGGAACAGCTAACACTGGTATCAACCTTACTTGACGTGCAAGAGAAGTTGTCCCGCCCCCTTGAACTTCTTACGAAGACGACGAGTACGATTCAGAAATTTCAGAGTGACCAACCCTGTCGCGCAACAGATGGATTTACAGGAAAAGTAAAGGTTAGCCAACTGCAAACCATACAATATTCCCGACACACGGCAATGAATTAAAAATCCCTCCTTGATTGTGTATCCCCCTCCTTTTTCCGAGATAACTCGGTTTCGCCCTTGAGCAACAGGTTTGCTATACTATCACCAGAGTATGTAGCCCACTCCATTATTTGAGAGTGGATGAGTACCTGTTGCCAGCTGATAAGATCGACTCACTCTCCCATCCACAACTTTCGCAATTGCCATGACAATCTAACACTTCGATAATAGATGATCTACATTGCAAGGAGCACACCTTTTGGTAAGTGTACCACATCAAGCACAAGAAACTGTCAAACCTTTCTCGATTTGTCATGAACCAGACCTCGCTACATTTAGCAGAAATCTATACCACAAGTTGTGTAAATTTACATGTATACACGATAGTAGTATGAAGTATGATATCGGACATGTATATTTGTAGGCAATTTTAAGTTGGTGATCTCCCGTATGGAGATTGGGATCAAGAATATGTCAGCAAGATGCATGCTAGTACATCTCATGCATGTTTGAAAAGCATGACCGTCTTCTAATGAATTGATCCAAACAGTAAATGATTTCTAATTTAAACTACTACATACAAAAAATTGGCAAATTCACTACTTTATCTTCACTCATCTCAACAACCTGATATACGAATTCAGCAATTATCTTCTTTTCATAGAAAAAGAACCCATCGTTGAGCTAGATCTGGTGATTATTGTCAAATTTGAGACAGATTGCAAGAACATTAATTAAATTACATAAAGTGCTTAATTGACAACATCTTTTGCCAATATGGCCAATTTGTTGAAAATGTATGAAAATGTTTGAACATGATTAATGAGGATTTTTTAAAGGCAATTTAATTTTTTTTCTATTTAGTATTTGGAATAAACACATAAAGTAAAAATTAGAGAGAAAAAAATTGACGATATAGTTGTAAAAAACCAACAACAAAGTATCATGTGTAACCTCATTTGGATCATTTGAAATAAGTATACGTTCATCCAAGATTTAAAAAAAAAATCTTTTCTCAATAATTGATGCCTTGTGATTAAAAAAATACGTTCTTTTGATGAATACATCAAAAATTTTTAATATTAAAAATCAGATTTTCTACGAATTACTTTTTAACTCATGTACACAAAATTTTTTTGTAACAATCAGTATCTACAGCATCACAAAGTTTTATATAATGAAATTACATTCAAACAAACTAATTGTTGAAACAATCCTTGCAAAATTGTCAATTCCAAAGTACGGCAAAGATGCTATCAAGTACATTAACAATTTAAATTTTTATTTTACCAAATAGTGCAATGGCCGATGTTCATTGATATCAATGATCGAACTTTGCCTTGAAAAAACATTCAACATCTTATTTGAAAAAAATTAAAAATTTATATGAAAAATAATTAATCAAAAATTCAAATTTTTAAACAATAAAACATGCATCTTTGATCAGACGTCATCTTATCTTGTAATTTATAAAATATTAACTTAAAATAATATTTATACTATTTATACTAAATAGATTCTAAATTTTATAAAACTTTTATATATTATTTTCATAGGATAAACCGAGAAGTTACGAGAATAAACACAAAGGCAAAAAAAAAACCAACACAAAAATTGATATATGTGGTTCACGCTTTGAGCCTATGTTCACAGAAAGTAAACAATGAGTAGGCAAGGATTACGGAAGAGAGATTAAGAGTTTCAAATACTCCAGTGCCAACTAAAAATCAAATTGAAGATAGCAACCTAACTAAAGAGTTAATCCAAAAACAATAGTTAACTTTAACAATTTTGGTATATATGTTTGCTCAAACTGTTCTATGTATATATCTAACTATGAAACAAAATGAAAGAAAATTTGATAATGATGTCTACAATAGCATGTTGAAAACTAATGAATGTTTCAATTTCAAATTTTTTTATACTAAAAGTGCTATGAATTTACATGCAGATAGAATTGTGTTAATACATAATATATTTTGAATTTATCATCATTTTAGAAAATACACGATTTTTAATTTGCAATTTGAAAAATTGTAGTTTTTTGAAATTTTTGAAATAAATTATATATTTGTTCAAAATATTTAAATTATTTATATCTTATTAATCAGAATCTAATACTTTGATGAATAATTGAAATGCTTTGAATAGATTTTAATTTATAAATTTGATTTTGAATGAAAATATGAAGTATAATCTTTAAAATTTAAATATTTTATGACCATTGTTATTAAGTGTAGATTAAAATTTAATCGATTTATTTAATTTTTTATTCAACTTTTATCAAATATTTTAAAAAATAATTTTAAATGAATCATTTCATATTCAGAATTTTCATTTTTTGAAGTCTTGGATTAAACTCTAGTTAAATCTAACACAAGTTAGAATGAGATTTTGGCTAAATCATTGTTACGATTAAATTTAGTGGACGACTAGGGCCACACCCGTTTTTGCTACGGCCACACCCGTCCTATTGGAAAGACTTCACAGGTTCACCACTTACTATGGGGAAGACGAGGTTGGACTTACCTTCTCAGATGCCGGTCCTGGAGCATGTGCAGAGGTGGGCGTGGTCACTGAAGAAAGTTTAGCTGCAAACACTAAAGCAGAGTCTGGAGTGGTGGAAGGAGCTCTAGAAGGCACAGGTGATGGAGTCACCGATGGAGGAGATGCCGGGTAATGAGCATGAGGAGATGCATGGTAATTAGCGGGCGGGTGTGGCCGTAGCAAAAGATGGTGTGGCCGTAGCAAAAACGAGTGTGGCCCTAGTCCTCCCCTTAAATTTATGATTTCTACTATATGTATAAATAACATCACGAGCTAAAACTAGTATCGAACAACTTCTAGATTTTTTCAGTTATAATGTAGTTGTTGTGTAATGTGATTCAAAATTGGCAATCTATATATAATTTTATTTGCGTCGTGTTTGAGAATTTACTTTTTTTATGGATTTTATAGATCTTTGTGCATTTTTCTATTACACTTGATATTAGAGCAAAGGTGAAATGACCATCACATATCCACGATGAAAAATCTTTAGGATTTGCAAACGCTCAATGCCACAGTTATAACAAACGTTGTATGAGAAATAAAAAAGAAAACATTAAAAAATATATAATGAAGGTGATGCTTGCATAGGTTTATGACTGTGAACACACTGTCTTGCAAATTGCACTTTATAATTGGCTTTCAATTTGTGGTGCACTAGTAACATTAACTTGATGCAGAGGATTTGTAGATTTTAAAAGAAAGATTTTAAGAATGAAATGAGCGGAATAATGGTTGAAATTTGAACTAGAGTTAAGTTAGCTTCTTCGATTGTTTTTTATCTAGATTTTCAAGATATATAATCAACAACAACAAAATTGCAAAATCAAAATTTGATGAAATCAATCAAATTTCTGCATGATGTTTTCATTAGAAAACATGAACTACCAACGAGCTTGAGTATCCTTGATCCTTGATGCTATGCAAAGAAATTGTAATTTTGAGCTTTATTAATTGAAACAGAGATAAAGATAGAGTGAAGACAAATCTACTAGAACATTTGAAAATGATGATTTTCAATTTGAACTTTAAAATCCATGACTTAAATCCTTGATTGCATAGCTCTTGAGAATTTCATGGATGCTTGACCAAAGAAAATTGTTGAGAGGTGAAAAAGTTAGATACAAATAATCTTAAACTTAAAATCAAGCGTCACTCAAGCCAAGCACAAACACAAGAGATATTCATATAACATGGTTCATCCTCAGGGATTACGTCCATGGCTAAAGCATATGAGAAGATTTACTGACAACCGAATGCATGATCGAGTAGAAGCCTTGGAGATTCATTTGACCCAAAGTCAAAGACACACCTAGGTATAACCTGAGGTTACTACTTAACCAGAGTTAACCTCAACAAATAATACCGGTTGGTTCATCTTGCTTTTGATAGTTAGAAATGATTTTGGTAGTGAAAAATGAAAAAAATACATCTTCTTGTTGTAGTTGGGACTAATTTTGAAATCTAAGATGGCAACAAAAAACTAAAGACTGAAAAATTTTAAACTCTTACAAAAATAATAATGGTTGACAATGAGAAAGTTTTAAATCCTAACAACTAATCTTTGGATACTCAAACCGTTAACGACAAGACATTTTTTTAAATCTTAACGACTAGCGATGAGAAAATCATGGCCTTTAACTTAAATTTTGATTTTT